ATATATATACCGAGCGGTATACCATTCGGTATACCGCTCGGTATATAGTATCGTACTGTACCGAGCTAACATCGAAACTCCAATACGGTACGAAATTACGAACCTTGGTCAAAATAATATGGTAACTTGGAACTCTGTTTTAGAAAACAATTCTAATGGTACTTAATTCATAAATATAACAAAAAGTACAGAAAATAAACATGTAGGGATGAAGAATGAATTGCAGTATCAATTATTGAATTCTCAATGAATTAAAAGCATGAAGTCAAACTAGAACATGCATCAACCTCACAATATCATCCCCAATTTTGGGTGTAATGCTAATGCTTCTTCTCCTCATTCTACGAGCATCAGATGTTGAAGCACCATCTGACCTGCAAATGAGTTTTTGAGAACACTTAAACTTGCTATCAAGTATGCCATAAGCATTCGGCTGCAACTAGAATAACAAAACACAACCAAGCGTTCATAGCTAAAATACACATTAAAAAAAATTAAACTGATTGTCTACAAGGTGATCGATATACGTGCATTTAAGGTTCTACACTAGTGACTGAAGTTCACATGTTTGATAAAGGTTTCACAAATGGGCAAAGGGTTTGAGTAAGCTCAGGCAGAGGAAGGGGATGATAAAGTGAATGATAGAAATAATAAATCTATGGAGCTGAACTTGGAAAGACAGTTGCAAGTGTGAATCAGACTTTATACAAAAATAGTCACCCAGAAAAGCTGAAGAACAAGAAAGATAAAAACTAAAATGACTTAATGGAGAGTTCAGGAACCTTGAAATGGTTACACCATCTGCATATTCTCTAAATGACTGTCTATCGCTACCAAGCATGGACCGTCCTCGTGTTCTACATAGAGGATGCTCTGGGCTGCACATACAACAAAAACAAGTTGTAATCCTAAAGCTTTGGACTGCAAGTAATAACACAAATTTTGATGTTACAAACATGATACAAGAGGAGAAAGATGAAAGAAGATACAGGAGAAAGTAACAGATTGATGTAACAACATGACCTTAAACAAATGTAGGCTTTCTATAGGATAATTGTGTGCATTTCAAATATACCTATCATTATGAAAATTTAATCTGTTTCAGAACTATAATATGTGATACAAGTATTGGAATATATCATTTGATCAACTCGTTCATGCACATGCATCCTTTGCTAAAAGAAAATTGTCCACGGGCAAGTCCAGGCAGCACCATGGATCCATATTTGTGTCATTCGCATATCTCCAAGTATGCATGCAGTAGTCATTTTAAAGTTTGTCCACTCACAGTTGTAATAGCTAAAATAATTATTATTTACTTTTTCGGGATCTATGGTTTCTTAAATAAACATTATATGAATTTTGTAACTTGGAATACTATATCAGAAATCAACCTGCCACAAGCAAATAAATGCTCAGATTGTTGCCTCACTCATGAAAAACATGTTGAGCACTTAAGGAACTCCCAACTGATTTTGTTAAAAAGAAAACTAAAGGAAGGTCCGTCAGAACATGCAAAATAACAAGGTATCCATATTCCATGAAGCACACAACAATCTTAGCACAACAAACCTGCAGACAGAGTTCTTTTTCCTAAATCACAACTCATGCATTAAAAAACAAAAAAGGATTGTTGATGGACATAGAATTTCCTACAAATATGCAAGTCTTGTTAATTTAATGTTAACACAAATCAAAGGAAACAGATGATGGATCTTGAACTACTAGTGGATTAGGCTAGTAAAATTAGAAATGCATGAGGGATTTAAGACAAACCGTCTCCTTAACAAAATGGTCACGCAGTAAGTCTCAAAATTGTACACTAGGCCATAACCTTAGAAGTGATGTTTTCTCCCATTTTGAAAGGCATAAATTTGCTAGATTATATAGACCATTACCTGGGTTAAGGGCAGTTATGTAACAATTTGTTACTACTATATATGAACAAATTCACAGAAAATATACTGATAAGAATTTTAAACAAGACAAACCTTGAACTAGCTGTACGTCCAGCAACAACTTTCCTCCTGCTGCGCCTCCAAAAAGCATTTGCAATGTCTGGTTCACTATGTGATACAATCATTTAGCCATCCAACAAAGAAATGAACAAAAAGCAGAAACTCAAATATGATGTTATTAAGTGGAAAAAGGATTAAAAGATGATAGACAATATAAGCTTTAGCTTAAAATCTAGCAAAAGAAAGGTGAAAGAGACGAGAATCAATGGTTGACCATTTCAACTCAAAATATTACCTTAAATTTCCCTCAGCAAAAGTTGTTGATCTCAGCATGACCCTACGCAGTGAATGATCAAGCAGGCTAGATGATGGGTCAGCTCTCCGCTGATACAAAGATTGGAGAGTTTCATTGTGCTCTGAACTGTCATATTAGGATGAAGCCATTTGAATTCACTAAACAACATATGGTGCAGCTAAGACAATTAATTCCACAGGAACTTGGAAAAGAACAAAAATAAAAAAGTATAACAATAGCAACAAACTTGGCGTTTTTTGCAACAGAAAACACTTCAAAGCAAGAAATAATATGAAACAAATATTCAATAATCCGTTAAGTGATTCCCATAGGTTTTATAATAATTGCATTCTACTTTCTTGCTTCTACTTACAACAAAAAAGACTAGTGCTTTACTGTAAAAACAGACATCGAATACAATTTAAGAAAGAAAGCTCTGAAACAATTTTCTCCAAAAAATTGGAGATGTCTTAAAGAAATGAGCTCCACTAGTTACAATCTGAAAAAGAGAAATTCACATTGAATTAAAGCAGACTTTTCATATATTCAGCAAAGCCAATGCAGGATTAAACAAAGGAAGGTCTGCAAGCAGGTTATGGCCCCAAATTTATTGGTTATTGACAAAAAAAAATCAACCTGATGTCCCAGTACAAGAAATAAAGCAGAGAGATATTTGATGGTCAAATGATTGAACTAGGAACACAGCATTCTGGTTAGTTGGTCCATGCTTTTGGATTTTGGGAGAGAGATTTGAAAAGCTGACAGAGTCTGCACAATTTCAGTTCAGAGACAAATGCTTCATCAGATAGTCTAACCAAGTTTTTATATATTGGTCAAACCAGTATGTAGCATTTGAGGGTCTAACCAACTATTAGAATTGAAACCTACAGCTTGATAATGGTACATCTATCATTCATTTTATTTACTCTATTCAATGACGCAGGCCGATGTAAGATGGTATACCATCTATAATGCTGCCATCATATCATTTCAATAGATGCTAAAATTGGTACAGAAAAGGCATTTAGACCCTTGATTCTAACTATGCAAAGTTCAAGAAGAAATTAAGGAACAGATCAATAGATAATGTAAACAGTGCTTCCATAAAGGCTGCAACAGTCTTTATGGTGTATGAAGGCACAAGTGATCAACAGATGAAGGATGATGAAAAATATTAGACAAAGGGAAAAGTGATCGGAGAAAAGGATATAAAGAAAAGAGGGCTTCGATGGAAAATTGAGAGATTAGAAAGATGTAAACAGACAATGAGACCGAAGATAGAACATTCAAACCCTTACTAGAGAAATTCTTCAAGCAAATATAGTACATATGCAGTTACATTTCCTGTTAAGTCATACATAATGACCTTGGTTGCTGGCCCCTAAGTCAGTCTAGATATGAGTCCCAGTTACTTAAGGAGTCAACATTACATTTATGACTACCATTTAATCCCAACTAACTAAGTTAAATATTATTCTTGTAAAATTAAGCAATGATAATATTGATGGTAGTGCAGCATAAATAGTGTCAAGAAAAGTATTACAACATAAAGAGAAATGATTTAACTATTAAAACAATAAAACAATCTAAAATTTAACCAAGAGCTTTCCTACTTCAATATGGATATGAACCACAGTTGCTTAATACTCCATCTTCCACCATCTATTGGCGATGTTTAGAGGAAATTAAAATCTTTTGTAATGGTTATTGCATGTGAGATGAAAAAACAGATCAAGTAATTTAAATTACCCCCTGGATGGTGATAGTAAAAGGAAAAATAGGACACTAGGACTCCATTGAATGGACTGAAAATGCAATATATGTTATATATTTGGAAATTGGCCCACAAATAATTATATGTCAGTTTAAAATGACAACTAGATATACATCACAAAAAATAAAAAAAACGGGTATCATACTTGCAAACATGATACATACCCTGCAGCTTCCACTTTGTCTGAGAGCCCATATAATGGACTGTTGGGTTCGAGAGGAGAATCACAAGAGTCATACTCAGCAGAGTCGCTCTCCCCTGCTGCAGAAATATGGGATATAAATATCGCCTTGGTTGAAAATGGAATCAACTGTCCAGGATAGCGCATAAGATCCACAAGTAGCTCCACAGAATTCAGCACAACTACCACAGACATATGCTTGAATGAGTCTATGCATTTGACACCACCATCATTAGGTAGACCCTATACAAATACATAATATGAAAAAGTGACCATTTAGATAGGCTCAATATCACAACATAGTTCAGTGTATGAAGAGCAACCTAATCATACTAAGATATAATAGAAATGATTACTACCACCACAAGTTTGCTCTCAAGACCAACAGCATCTGCTAGAACTTTAAACAAAATTGCTCGAGGCCGGCATGATCCCTGCCTAATCTGTCCAAGCAGTTGGATGCCTCTATTATCCATCAAATGAGAAACATCTTCTACTGCAGCTTTTGCAGGACTCAGATCTGAATTTGGACGCTTATAGAAGTCAAAGACCTAATTTTGAACCAGAAAGTAAGCATGAGAGAAGATAAAATGAGAATGATTTTTATACTATATGATGACTATACATATTATATGTTTATATTCAACCTAAAAATACGTATTCTTAGATATTTATATAAATACCTATAAATAAAGCATAAAACATGATCCAGCAAAGGCACCTATTACCCATTTTCTAAAAGATTATATTTCTTAAATACGTGTGAAAACAAAATATGATGGTTTGGTTGATTTTATAAAACTAGCACATTTGCTTCCCTTAAGTGTCATTTAATCCAACCTGCTTAACTATAAAGAAAAAGAAAACGTAGTGAGAAGTAGCCTGGTCAAAAATATAATTAAGTTGGTGGGATAAATCAATTAAGATATTCAAAAGAATACTAACCAAGCCAGCAATCTTTTTTATTATTAAAGCAGGATTCGCATATAGTCCTTTCACCATGGCCGCACTTAACTGCTTCAACATGCAGAGTTTCTTGTCCTTTTCTGCATCTACAAGAATTATGTCAGCCTTAGACCCTTCCATACCAAGAGAATAAAGCCCATCGGGAGATGGAATAGTGTCAAAAAGCTCCTTAAGTTTCTTATCCTGCATTAATTAAATAAGAGAAAAAATCTCTGTGTTGCTCAAAGGAATAAAAGCAAACTAAGGAAACAATAAAGACTCAGCAAATAAAAATAAAATCTGCGGTAAAAGATTCTATTTCTCACTGGAATGATAGAATAGAAGCCATTCGGTATCAATCCTGAATAAGTTCCAGTGGACCACAATATTTGAGAAGCAGCCTGAGATGAGTATTCAGCTTGCCATACATCACATGGAAACCCTCCAGTAGTCAAAGTTTCTCCTCGTGGAGCCAAAGAAACAGACTTTAAATTTTCTGCAATATCTGAGTGCCACCAAGCAGCATTAGAAGCCACTGGTTCAGAACGTGTTGAATCACCTGACAATTCCATTTTTCAGGAACACAAAATATAGAAGTAATTCCTCTCACTTTTCATCCCATAGAGGATGTTGGGTACTATATAAACAAAGCTCACCAATAAGATCAGAGTAATTTTCTTTTAAATTTCCTTCCTCCATCGTTCCTAATGTCTACAGATACAAGAAACCTGAGTTAGGCAAACTTTTCCACAAGCAGACATAAAATCAGAGAAGCTAATTGTCACATGTTCTTCTTAATAAGAAGTAAACTTCATAGTAAAGTATAATGTAACAAAGTAGAGGTTGCATCATGTGTATCAAGAATGTATGTCAACTTTTACAGGAACTAAAATGGCATTTAAGTAGCTGTAAGACTGCTAAATGTTTTTCTACTTTAGATGTTATGCCTGAAAATTGCCAGTCTTTGCCAAACTTGAGACAGATTTCACCAGTGAAACTAAAGTATTTAGAAACAAGAAAAAGATCAGCAGGAATTCCAGTTTTCTAACATGCTCCAAAACCATAGGATAAGCAGCAGAACATATTTCTTAATGCTCCAGTCAAAATGTTTCATTTGTCACAAACAAAGCAAAATAAGCCAAACATGTGCATTCAGCCACCATCGCTTACATAAAATTAATAACAGTGCCGACAATCAAATTGGCCATAGATGAGATACACTGGGATTATGGGACGCCACAAATGATATAAAAAGAAATTGCAGGAATTTGAATAACAGACATTTGGGATTCCCTATAGCCAGGACCATCACAGGAAGTCAAATGATAGTTGGTCACGTATATCCACAATAAACAACTATTTGTTATTGTAAGATGATCAAATTTATTAGCAGCATAAGATAGCAATTTTCTGGTCATAAGATATAAAAAGTGCAAGCACTGCTTTGGTTGCATAATGCACATGTGATGCCTGATCCAGCATTGCACTGACACTCGGTGGCAAACAAGGAAGCAAGCTAAAGAATTGTTTCCATTAATATCCTCTCAGTGGAGGAAACTTAATGAAAATGTAAGCTTAAAGAGACTAACCAAATTAATCATCAGATATTTGATAAAATTAAAATACAAATAATTTTGGGACTGTCGTCCTCCTAAGTTGTTCTTTCCATTCACTCATACAAAATATATATTTGACCTCACTACCATACAGGAGCAAAGTCACATAAAATTTCAAATTAAAGCTTGAACTCATAATTAGTTGGAGCATGTAAAACTAAGCATTTAGCCTCTCTTCCACCACAGGGATAATTTAAAAAGAATGTCATCATGTGATTGCAACAAATTCACATAGCTAAAGGCTCATGATTTTAATAAAGCTCGACCATTTAAATTTAAGCAATATGCCAACAGCACCAAGTGTGATGGAATTCCATTGAGATCAAGAGAAAAACATCATCAAGGCCATGCAAACAGTGATTGGAATAATTCTTCTTTGAGGAAAGATGACTGGAATTTTCTTCCCACATAGGTCTTTTGGATATTGGAACCTGATAGCTCCAAGTTTAGGAAAAAATTCAATCTAGCGTGGAGGACATCAACCATTATCAGCTTCCCAAGCATAGAGTTTGCCACAAACTCAGGCTAACAAATCTAATTGACTGCCGAAGTTTCCCAAGTTTCTCCTGATACATGAAAGGTAAAAGCATAATAACCATTTTGGTGATGGGAGCATATATTAGTGCTAGTCTGATCCTTATGGCATGACATCCTAACCAGGTCTCTATACTCTCTTATAATCAGCACTGCTATCTTCCTGTGAGGTAATCAGACTTAAAGGAAGAGCTACAACTTCGATGACCAGGTAAATTAATAATTAGTTATACAAAGAAATCGTCCCAAATTGTAACGGATTGCAGCCACTCTCTACATTCTCCAAGAACCAACAGAAACTGCTGAAACAAAACAGAACCAATAATTTCGTACATTCTGACAAATCGTCATATATCCTTCACATATAAGAACCAAGTAACTACGTGGAAAAGCTGTTTTAACTGCTAAACCGCCAGAAATCGTAAATGATACTTCTTACTCAAATAAGACAGCACCGTCTCTATCAGTAAACCATGATATCATTCAAAAGCAAGGCAATAACATCAACCACGAAACATTACGGAGCAATTATTAAAGCAATAGACATCAAACTTCCAGTATCCAAAGGTTTTAAGAGACCGATTCTCCTTATCATCAATTAAAAAATGATATCGCAATTCCTTGCTGCCCTAGTCCAAGAAATCAATTCGAATTTGCAAAGATTAAACGAGTAGAGAGAACCAAAATACCCCAATTTAGTCAAAAGTGCAACGCATCAACATAATTCCACCAACACCGAAACAAATTCAAACGCATTGGAACCATATTGTGATAGAATCGAACAAATCAACGCGCCTTCAATCGATCCATCGCCGGCGGACGAATCCGTTCATCTTCACCGAATTCGAATAACCGTCAAGGACTCAAAAAGCGGTCGAAGATTCCGGTAGCGATCGCGGATCTGAATCTACCGACCGACACGCCGATCGTAATCAGGAGCCCGAATACTGATAAGAACAGGAAATCGAAGAGACCTAGAGCATCAATACGAGGGCGAGAAAGTGAGGAAGATGGAGAACAAAAGTGTGAGGGGAAATGAACGAACCAAAGAAATGATATAGCGGGTTAGAAATAATTCGATTTATTGATGAAATCTTCTTTATTTATTTTTTGCGCGTACAAGTACTATGCGGGAGATCAGGATCTCCTTCGATCTCGGTCATTGGACGGTGATCATGAATTTGACTTAATACGAGTTTTATGGTGACGTGCTCCCGTCGTTCGCATTCGACCGTCGACGCGGAGCGTAGCCATGTCGCGGTCGAAACGTTGAAGCTCACACGTCATCTTGGTGGTTCGAATTCCAACCACCCCCGTGCTTACCCTCTGCGTAGAATCGAGAAATCACGTGGGACCCGCCTGAGTGCCCGGGCTGTCAAACGGGATGGTCGAACGGGGCATTCGAATCGAAAGACGGATGCGGAACGTGTGTTTGTTTTATCGCACGGTGGGTTAGGACCAAACAAACCATGCTTGTGATTCGCCCACATCATGTGGTTGTATTTAGTGGCGAGGGAAACTGCACGGAAGCATTCAGCTTCGGCCCCACGCATTCTCTACCACGTCATCTCGTCACGAAGCTGGACAGGACGTTTTGAAATGCCTTTGGTACTTTATTATTAATGTCAATTAAAATCACATTATTTCGATTCTGAATTATGATTACTGATAGATATTTAATTAAAATGAAAAATAAATGGCATGTTTCAGTCGTGACTAGTGATAATTTAATGGTTTAGCCCACTCCCTCCTCCTCGTTCGAACTTCAAAAAGCTCTTTCAAATGGGGCATGGGCTTTTTCTGTACACGTGAACTGAGTACGGTTTGAACGTTGTGGGGTTCATGTATGTCTAAGCTGTAACGGAATCGGTTCGAGAAAGTGACCTTTTTGACTCGGCTGCAAAAAAGGACAACCAACTTAGGACAATAGTCATGAGAATGGTTAAGAAGGAGGATTGGACGTTTCATTGATTTAAATCGTTTTCTTTATTGTCTCTTTCATGGCCGTCGTGGGTTGCGCAGTTGACCAAGAGACGACTGGGCTTACTCGACGTGTAGCTAGATAACAAGTTGATGACTGGCGTCGTCCCAAATTTTGCCTTTGTCGCGGTATTTGTTGCAGATGGTGGATGGCGGGTCCAACTTAGGCTCATTCGTTCTCGTGCTGGACGTGGCTTGTCCAACCCTCCTCTAATCGCGATCGATGACACACGGTTCAAGTCTGCTGTGAATTTGTGGTCGAGTTTGGAACCCGTAACGGATCCGATAACCACCAAATATTCAGGTCCAAACTCAGCTGGATAATATCATATTGAATCACAGTCCCAATGGATTCTTTTTTTACGACACACACACGGGTCTAAACTCTGTTTTAATATCCCAGGAATCGGGAAGAAGGTATTTCTTGATCGTAATCATGAACCATGAGTTTGTATTAGCACATAAGGATCTTTTCTATGATTCAACTCGATTATCTTATAATACGTTGGTCCTCTTTTTAGCATCCGGATGTTATGATGTATTTTAATTATTTGATACGTTAGAGATTTCAAGTCAATCATAGTTCTATTTTAGAATTTGTGGCAAACGTAGGTAAGTAGTCGAATTTAGTTGAGTTTCCTATAAAATTAAATTACGAGCGTGCCGATACATACATACATACAATATGTAATTTAAGCTAGAGAAAATTTCGGGTAGCATAAGACCCTTTACAGTAATTTTTGGATGTTGACTAAGAGTAAATATATATTTAATTCATATGATAATTTTGTTGAATCATTGAAAATTATCAAGTAGTAAAGAGTCAATTGGACAGTAAGACATCCGATCTATGTCTAATGTGATATTTGGGATATGTTTGTGAACATATCTGAAATGTGATTTGATATTTAATATTTTTAAAAATCATATTTGGTTGAAATGCTGTATTACAAAAGTTCAAATGTTGATGAGGAACCTCGCATTCATGTTTTAGTATTTATGGGATACAAATATATTTTTTTAAAATTACAAATTATCCTATATTATTATATAAAATCATAAAATTACGACTAACATGGTTTGTCTTATATAAAATAAAATTTTATTTATTTATTTTAAAAAGTTATTGTATATTTATTATATATCTAGGTCGTATGAATTTTTTTTATAAGATTGCATTTATTTATTTTATTAATTTAAATAAAAATAAAATAAAAATATTTAAAAATATTATAGAGATTAATTAATTACATAAAAATTTAATGAATTTTTAAAATATAATTTTACCAAACAATACTTTTTCATATCAATGCATATTTAAATTATGATTTTATCTATCATTTATCAAATACTTAAAACATTTCACAAAAATAATATATTTATTTAAATCTCCTTATCTAACCACACATTAAGAATATAAATATAAATGTATGTTAATCATTCACGTGTTAGCCGCTTGTATCACTTATTACACCAACGAATTACATGTTCCATTGAGCATAAATCGTTCGAATTGATACATAATAGCATATCACAACGCCTATCCGAATTCTCCGTGCCAAACCTGTCTTGTTCCCTCGAGCCGAAGCTCGCCAGGAACTCTGACCCTCACCCTACTTGGTCCGCCTACCAGTGGGACGCGCTGGTGAGGTCGGAGGTGACTTCACCTTGGGGCCCCACGGGTCGCCTCTGTGGGAGATAGAGAGAGAGCGCGGGGGAGCCGCCGCAACAGGGAAGATCTTTTGGGGAGAGCCCCAAAGAAATATCTGACCGAGCTCGCCGGCCGCCGACGATGGAGCTCGAAGGAAGACGACATCCTCCTTTTGCTTTGTTTTCTTCCTCTCCTTTTTTGTTTCCCTACTTTTTCTTTATGAACTCGAAAACGGAGCAGCTACAGTGCGCGTACTTATCCGCTTGCATGGGACGACAAAGCCACGTGCCGATCAGCACCATCCATTTCTGCCCCCCGGAGCCACAACGTCGCGCGGCCCTCGTGCCGAGGACACCCCCCCCCGCACGCCGTCTGAGCTTTTTATCCAGTTACTTGTCGGCCGGCAAACTCCGCCTCTGTCTTCTTCCTCGTCCTTGCCACCGTCATATCCCGCTCTACCCACCGCCGCTGCCAAGGTGGACCGTGAGCCACGGTTAGCGGGACCGTGCGCCGATTTCACAAGCAGGATGAGCTGCCAAGCAGGATAATTCTTTTGTCACCAAAGAATTAGCTCGCTAGTCAATGCCGGACAAGACTGCCAGCTACATCCCAACACCTTTATTCACCCCAATAAGAACACCAAGAACAAGAGGGTACCGAGGTCACCTTGGCAATATGGTTCGAGCACATGCAAAATGAATTGAAAACAGTTGTTATCGTGGTCTGAAGGCCTAAACATGGGTTAGGATACGTTCGAGATAGGAAAGTCTCACCCGGACAAGACAAAATAGCTAACGCATGATGTACTTGGACTAGAAGCAAGACCCGCGTTTAGACTTTGGGTATCACCGCCACTGGGAGGAGTCTTATAAGCAGTGATCGCGAGCTTGAGTAGGTGACGATAAGGACGGATGCGGTCCGTGACGAACATGCCGTTGTTGCCGAGACCCGCGGCGGGGAGCCCGGCGACGCAGGAGGTGCTAAGGCGGTACCACAGCCGGCACAAGGGCCCGGGGCAGTGCGGCTCAGTCAACGTGCAGTACGTGTCGGCGCCGCTGCCAACGGTCTGGTCGCTGGTCCGTCGCTTCGACCGGCCGCAGGACTACAAGAAGTTCGTGAAGGACTGCGAGCTGAGCGCGGGGGACGGCGGGGTGGGCAGCGTGAGGGAGGTGACGGTGGTGTCCGGCTTGCCGGCGGGGACCAGCACGGAGCGGCTGGACACGCTGGACGACGACCGGCACGTCATCAGCTTCTCCGTCGTAGGCGGCGACCACCGACTCAGCAACTACCAGTCGACAACGACGCTCCACGTGAGCGGTGGCGGGACGGGGACCGTCGTGGTGGAGTCATACGTGGTGGACGTGCCGCCGGGCAACACGGCGGAGGATACCTGCGTGTTCGCGGACACCATCATCCGGTGCAACCTCAGGTCGCTGGCGAGCATCTCGGAGGAGATGGCTGGATCGCCAGCCGACGGCTGAGCCGATTCCTCGGTTGATGGTTACTTGAAGCGTGCAACCCGAGGGAAGAAAGCACGTGCTGCTTTCTACCGGTCTCGATTGCAGTCTTGCGGCGTAAGGTTGTAACCTTGAGGGGGAACAGTAAAGTGCCACTGGTCTGTGTGTGCTTATACTACGCGTAGATGTACAAACGATGCGACTTAGCGTAATGCTCTTACGTAGTTTGGTTTGGTTTAATGACGATGCGAGTTAGCGTAATGTTCGGGAGTCCCATGTGGCGTCTTCCATCCTCTTTGTGAGCGCATTCACTGTGGGTCCATGGAACCGAACTCCGAATCCGGTCAATCCCTCCCTGCTCGAGCTTTTAGTCATCCAAAACGCAGTGCATAACCAAACTATATATATCCCTGCAAAATAAGTGATTATTTATTTTTTAATTTAAAATTCATATAAGTTTTTAGAAACTACCATATAAGTTATTAACGTGAGAGTTACGTAGCATTTACAAGGATAAATTTGTTATTTCAAAATATATAGGATGATTTTCTTTTTAAAAAATTATTTTGGGTTTTTTTTCAAACAACATTCTTCTTTTAGTGTTTTTAGCTGTACCATTAATTCAAAAAATATTTAATATTTTCATTGGTTTTGAATTATTAGTGTATTTTCGTTTGAGTCCTTTATAGTATTTTTCAATAATATTTATTTTTTTTTATTAAAATTTTAAAATATAATAAAATTATTTTAAAATACTATAAGTGATATCATACTATATCTTTTAGGTTGTCGTTGTTCGTAGACCATTATGATATCATATTATTAGTCCTTTGGTAGATTTAGTATAGGTTAAGAGTTCATTTGTATGATCTATAGTATTTTCAAATAGGTTTCATAATAATAATTATTATTATTATTATGTTTTGATGACCAAAGCTCTATAATAATCTAATTTTTTATTTTTATTTAAGTGATGTTGTTCCTAAACTATTATAAATACCTATTTGAATTCTAGTATGAGATATCAAATGATTTTTGATGTGTTTTGATTCAATTTATTTTATTTATCATATTTTAAAATAAATTTTACAATGTTTTTGTTATGATGATCAAAATATTGTAACAGATTATAATACTATAACAAATGAAAGAATATAATCAATTTTTCGATTATAATACTATAATAATCATTTTTTGTTTTGATATTTTTAGAAAAAGGCCTTAACTTCAAGTGTTTTTAGTAGAGTATCTCAAGTGAACAAATTTTTTACAAAACACCTATAATTGTATAAAAATACTATTTTACTCTCGTAACTTTGAAAGATTTTTATTTAGCTCCAACTCTAACCACACCTAATAATTGCTCAATAAATTGACCCTCATGCATGCGAAGGCATAAGTGATAAGGAAAGAAACGGGGCGACTAATATTAGTTATCAAACTTGAATGCTGAGGTACAAATGGCTTGGTGGGGGTGGCGGGGTTGAAGGATGAGGGTTGCGATCCATCATAGCATGTGAGCAAGGATTCATAGGTGAGATTGTTAGATGCAAAGTGAAAGAAAACAACGGATAAAATAGACATGTAATCGGATGGAGACACAACTAAAGATCATAGAAGTAAAATGGTCATTTCTAATAATAAATACTCTTAAAATTTTTTAAAATTTGAGATGATTTGAAAAAAAATAATTTTTTTAATTATTTTGGATTAGAGGTAAGTAAAAAATCTAAATAAAAATAATAAACAAACAAACGGTCGGCCAAAAGGGCAGTGGGCGTGTTCGACCCGACGTTCCAAAGACGGAGGCATAGATGTAACGAGTAATAGCGATGCTTCTCCTAGCCATTCCGTCCTTGGGTTCGCCTCGCGCCTCTCACTTGCAGGAGGCAACTGCCGGACCCAGATGGGCCTCAGCGCAAATGGCCGGTAGCCGCGTGGGTAGTACAAAAAACGCGTAGAAGATTTCCAATAGAGCTTTTGAATTAAAAAAGGCGATAAGAGTAATAATCGCTACGTGCTTTCTTTCCATATTTATCATCATTTCGATAATATTTTAGAAAAGAAGATGAGCGGGTAATTATGTCTTCGTGCACTCGTTTCGTCTCTGTCATCATTCCTCTTCCCTATTGAGAGCAAACTCCACACCCACCGCCCTCGGATGAGATCGTCGGCCCACCATGTGAGCACCTTTTCCCTTCACCTTTTATCTCCTCGTTCTGAGAGAACATACTTTTTGGGACGCGAAATTTCTTGCGCTCGAAGCATTCCCGGATTCTGTCGTTCCTCTTTTTCTCAGGTGAGTTCGCAAGTTGATGGACTTCGGATTGAAGAATTCGAGCGCTCGCTCAGTTCTACAAGTCCGTATATGACCGATAGTTGTTGCGGGGGTGGATCGATCATTCCCTCGTCGATTTTGATCTGGAGGAGGTATGCTTGTAGCGACCATTTGAAGATCGGATTTGAGTGGAATGGGAGGAAGATGGAAGCTGGCCGGGTTCCATTTGCGGAAGGTGTTGTGCGTGGTCCTGATCATCCACCTCTTCACCGATGAATGCTTGTCGATTAACCTCGAAGGTATGTGTGTCTGTTATTTTCTTGATTCCTTGGGTGTCTGTCGTCCTGGTGACAGTGGTAATGTCTTAAAAGAAGAACGCTGAATTTTGATGAAGGGTTGGCTCTGTTGCAATTCCGGTCGAGAGTGGAATCCGATCCGTATGGGGCATTGGCAAACTGGAACCCCGGGGACAACAACCCGTGCAATTGGACTGGCGTCCATTGTCTTGATGGTAAAGTAGTGACGCTGTAAGTTCGTCGCCATCTTTACTTTGCGTTCTCTTCATTCCTTGCTCTAGTGCATTCTGTTCTTCGCGACTAGATATGGTTGCCTATGAACATAAAAAATATTTGAGAAGAAAACGTTATTAATGTAAATTGCAATGGGATACTAAGTACATAACCTATTCGTTTGGGATGAACATATTCATATCATGTGCGATAATTGTCTCGATAGGATCTACTGTCTGCTTTAAATAGTTTAATCTTGATTACTCTGTTCTGCCTATTTCTAACTTGGTGACTTGGACCAGCACCTTTATTTTTCTTAACCTTCTGTAAATTTTGTTATTATGCTGTGCCTTCAATAACATCATGTTCTGCATACTTTTCTGTTTTGCTAATGTTAACATGCTTTTTCTTTTTGGCAACTCTATAAGCTGCATTCTATTTTTCATTTTAATTAGTCGGATATTAACTGCCTAACTTTGGCATAGATAACTTTTTGTTGAATTGCATTAGAAGGGTATGCCAAAGTTAATGCAATTCAACAAAAAAAAAGGCCTTACCTGATTAATGTCTATTTAGGTTTAGCTTTAGTAAATTGACTTGCTTGGTTAATGTCACTTTAACATCACTTTGGCCTAGATAACTTTTTGTTGAATTGCCTTAGGAGGGTTAACATAGTTAAACTAACAAAAAAAGGTCATACCTGATTAATGTCACTTTAATTAGGTTTAGGAGACGGGTGTAGGCTTTTGTAAATTGACCTACTTGATTAATGGCACTTTAATATCACTGCTACTACTACTTCTTCTCCTCATCCTCCTCCTCAAAAGTGTAATATATTGGAATAAACGGGAAAATTAATTTGTTTGCTGTTTGCCTGAGCCTTTTGGTCAATTTTCCTGTCAAGCATATGGGACGAAAAGACCATCAAGATCATGGTAGTAAGACCAGCACATGCAACTCAAATTTTAAATATGAACGGTGCATGGTTCAGATTGTTGTGTAGCAAAGTAGATCTAAGAGAGCTGCTTCCCTCATAGCAGAGGCATAATGGTCATCCTTGACTATGGAATGTAGGATAGCATACTACTTCCAAAGATGGTGCTTTCTGGCAGATACGACATGGAATTCACAAGAACAATAAATGGTGTCCTGATGGCTTCTTCTCGATGGAAATTAGATATTAACTTATTTTGAAGCAAAAACACTTTGGCACAGAAGATACACTTCATTTTAATGTTTCATTCATCTTTTACGTAATTCATTTTCTCCATTACAATGGTCATGATGGTATGTTTATCGATTCATTTTATGTCCTCAAGGTCTACTAATGAGGCACATTTGCAGGAACCTAAAAGAATTTTCTTTGCGAGGCATTTTGGCACCCGAGATTGGAAAGCTGAGCCACCTGAGAACTGTGTAAGTTACAATTCAGTTTCAAAAATAACTTGAATATAATTGACATGATATGTGGATGGAGAACATCTCTTACGCTTGCCTCAATGTAACCAGTGTTAATTAGAAGGAACCATAATTCAATAAGCATGAGCTTAAAAAGAACTACAAGGATTAGTTTGAGTTATTTAAATATCTGTGTAGAGCTTTCCAAAAAAAGAAATCATTTGATGAACATGCATGCCTTGTAATTTATATCTGTTTACCTTTTCTTATTCCAATGAATTTTATGGAACATCACTTGTTCTTTTTCCCATCAAAATCAATTTGTGATAGCTCCATCTCTATTCTAAAAATATGCATTACTAGCACCTATTAAACATGTGATTTAATATTGATGGCATGTTGATAGCTCCATCTCTTTTTGGGGTTAAAGTCTCAAAAAAGGATTTACTTATTGATGGCATGTTGATATCAGCCAGCAAATGGATCCATATGTGCTGTCAAAATGCTCTATCACACTGCTGCACTGAGACAGGTGTGTCAGCAGAAAAATAAAAATGGAAAGAAAATATGTGAAAGAAGGAATAGGAAAGAAGGGAGACAGCCTAATTAGCTATTCGCAAGCTTTTCAAGCATTATTGCGTTCCCTCCAACAATTCCAATCATTGGGTGGCTGGCTGATGGCTGATTGACTGTGAACTGTTTTCTCTCTATCGCATCGGAGGAGAGGCACCTTAGTACTAGTGGCATTAATAATCAGTCCCAATAGAAGTGAATCTAGGCCTGTGAGTTCATATAGTGAACTGGTTTGGTCAGTCCATGTTAAAATCAAGAAAAGGGATATGTTCTCGAGAAACAATTATGATGCAAGTCATTGGTACTTCCCATCCCATTGCTCATTTAGGTCGCAAAATAATATTTACCAGGTTGTATTGACATCTAAGAATCTAAATGACAACCCATGTTCTCAAGCAAGTTGATTGTAATTAGAAATTAAAAGAATTTATAATGAAAACATAATTAGTAGATATCAAACATAGATTTACCTGCAGCACGCAGTTACAGTGATTGCATGGCATGTGTTGGCAATACTTGCACCCCATGCTTAGCAGGTCTCATGCTGTGCAAAGTCTTGTGTGCTCACAAATATATGTGGAGAAAACTTGTGTGATTCATTGGCGAGAACAGGGCAACAACATCAGCTAGTTCTTGCTTTAGATTACCCAGTGATTTCAATAGGGGCTCGGACTTCCGCATCCCTCTCGCGACTTCCCCAACCCTAACCCTTCTTGCGATTCTGACGCCGACATTTCCTCTCTGCTGTTGCTGCCTCTCTCCACTGTCGTTGCCTCTCTCCGTTGTCGCTGCTCTCCGCTACCGCTGCCACTGTCATTGCTCGCCACTGCTGTCTCTGCTCGCCACTCCCACTGTCGTTGCTCGCTACCGTTGCTCTCAGTCAACGGTATCAGTCTTACTCTTACGCGGCGCTTTTGTTACCGATGCCACTATCATTGCTCGTTGTTGCTGTCGCTACTTGTTAGTGTCGCTGCTTCCGCTACCGTTGCTCGTTGCTCACCGCTGCTGTCTTACTCTTACTCACTCTTCTCATACCGACTCGATAGTTTACTGTTAACAGTATAGTAACAGTATACTGTTAACTGTATACTAGTAACAGTATTTTTTATTTATTAGATTAATAATATATTATTTTAGTTTTAATACTGTTAATTTTTATTTATTTGAAATTATTGTTATTGTTTTGAATTTTGAGACTTTTGTTAATGTGATATTGTGATTTTACAAGATTTTCTTAATTTAATATCATATTTTTATTTAAATAATTATATTTATTAATTATATTATATATTTTTATATTTTAGCATCTCGCTTCGCTCGGGTAAGCACCTAGCACCTCGAACGTTTTTGGACCTTGACGCATAACGTTTTTAAAATCACTGAGATTACCTAACTTGATGGAGCCTAGCATTTTTTAAATTACCGAGATTACCTAATTTGCTTGATGGAAGAGCCTCTCAACTAGTACATATACTTAAAAAATTTACACACTAAAAAAATTTCTATATTAAAAATGATGAATATATATATATATATATATATATATATATATATCTGCAACTATGTGCTAATTTGTAAGGACAACATATGGCTTGGTCAAGTTCCATATTTGTTTTTAGATATAGCTCTAAGTAATGAGCTAGTTGTGTGTTTTACTTTTACTCTAAGGAACAGGTGATTGGAGACTAATAGTGTAAACCAGCTTAGTATACTCTGAAATGATAATTCTTGGTTCCATGCATACAGTATCGCTGAGGAAAGGCAATGTACATACACCCAAGAAATACAAACATTTCCTAACCCTTGATAAAGAAGTTGTTTGATATGTGTGATAAGATAAAGCAGCTAGGTTGTGATTACGAAAATACTAACTCTTAGTGAAATGTGTTCAACTTTTTATAACATGAATTACTAGATAAAACGGTAGTGAGATGCACTGCAGTTTAAACCATAGTTGGAAGAATAATTGGAGCTAATAGGTATTTTTCTCTACAAAGATATCTTTTTTTCCTTCTTGAAATATGTTTAAACTTTTGCATATTAGATTTTATGTCTTAACTAATTTATTTGGAAGGTATCTCATCCTGGATATAATCCACCATGGAATAGGGTTAAGATGCTGCACTTTTCTTTGCTTGTATTAAAAGCTCTTGGGATGTCAAGATCTTAAGAGACTAACATCTCATATTAAGTTTGAGTATTCAGGCATAATCCTCAAGCTACATATATTACTGAATTTCTTAATATTTGACATTTAATATTGTCATAATTGGCATTGTTATGCCATAACTAGTTTTCTGTCAACAGTGTGCTTTACAAGAACAAATTTTCTGGAGTCATCCCCAAGGAAATCGCAGGATTAACCATGTTGGAGCTGTTGGACTTGAGGAATAACATGCTAAATGGAATAATTCCCAAGGAGATAGGAGAAATGCTATCTCTGAAGCATCTGTGAGACTCCTATTGCAAATATACATTTTTTCTTCATGAGACAATGAAAAATTATCTTTTTATTGTTTTTGCAGTCTGCTTTGCCATAACAAATTTCAAGGCAACACACACTGGATTGAAAATCCTGACTTGCACTTTGATCTGATGCATGATCAAAACCTTTCATGCAACAAAGCTAATGATTTGGGACATGTAAACCGCAAAGTTGGGAATTGGTAAGTTGCTATTTGTTTTTGTGACTCTTTATGGAACCGATGCATGCTAATAAGCATGAAATTAAGCCTGATTCTAGAGTGTATTCATATTAGCTAATTGTTTATTGATAGCATATAATTAGAGTTAACAATCCATATGCAGATTTAATGTTTTCTACATGCGAAGACGATTTCAAAAAATAATTAAGAACATGACCAGAATTTCTAAATTCCAATCAGTTATTATAAAGTAAAGCTTTTGTCAACAAGGGATTCTCTTTAGAAATTGGGCAGTCCAAGGGATTGAATGTAATTCTCTCCATAAGATCAGTCATTTGGCTTTTGTACAAATCCCTGTATTTGTATTGACCAATACTTATTGTTCATCATATGGAAGTTTCAATCCATATAAGCTGAATCAATTTTGTTATTCATGTACTGATTACTATCACGTAAATATCAGCTTCGGGGAAACTGGCTGGCAAAAACTGAAGAAAATTAACTCCTTTCTGGTGCTGCTTAATGGAAAAATCATACAAATATTTGATACACCAAACATGTAAGACATTTTCTTGTTTCTTTCTATATGTATTTATCTCAACAGTAACTATTTAGATAGCTGACGATGCAAATTCTCTAAAATATCTCAACTGCAGAAGACTTTTGCCTTCAAGCATCAGATCTAAGGGACTTTCAGATGGAAATGAAAAAAGAAACAATAATCTGGCCAGTAAGTAAAAGATATATAGTGGTGACCAAATACTCCTGTTCGCAGAAAAATTCTTAATACAATAATAATATACTCTTTCTTGACTGTAGCTGGTTTTGGCGGGCCATATGTATTGTCAAATGTACATGAACATACTGTTCGGCGTAGGCTGGCTGAAGAAACCAGGAATCTCCATGCTGCTCCTGGAAGTGATGGCCCTCTAAATCAAGTTGTCAGTGTTCCACCCACTGCAAGTGGTTCATTTCCTGCAATAAGAGATAAATCCAAACTAAAGCCATCTCTATCTCCTATATCTCCAAGCCTGCCACCCGTTTCTCCATCTATAGCTCATCCTGAATCAACACCAACTTCTGTGGTGAATGATCTTACATCAAGTAGAAGATCTGCAATGTGGAAATACATTCTTGTTCTGCTTGTGGCTGCTTTATTTCTTGCACTGGCAACATGCATATTTTTAGTTTGCCACAGCAAGGGTGTGGCCACAATAGGTCCGTGGAAAACTGGTCTAAGTGGTCAGTTGCAAAAGGCATTTGTAACAGGTATATCCTTTTTATGTTATTCTCTGGTTGGCCATTAGAATGTAGTACATGTCAGATCTGAAGCTAGCTAAGTAGTTTTAACCTTAATTCCATGTTTAAACCACTCTTTTGTTTACATATCATCTATAGTTTATTGATGGGTTCTAGATCAAAAGAATGAGAAGTGTGGTGAAGCTTAGTATGTTTACTGGAGCTCCAAAGTCCAAACTAAATAAACACTTATGTTATCTACATTAGCGAAGAGAAAAACAGGTGTATAATTTGTATAAAATCATCTAATGTGTGAAATGTTGAATGATATTGTGACATCGTAATCTTCACAGGAAAGCCTTCTCCTATCAGTTAAATGATTTTGGGCTGGGTATTATACTGGTGTTCTTCAAGGCAGCATTTTGTCAGTACTACTAGTCTTCAAGGCAGTATTTTAAGCATCAACTTGGCTTATCAAGATGAATAATACCCTAGTATTTGCTGGTTCGTTTTGGCAGTACCTGATACCAACCGGTTCCCTACTTACAATATGTTCTAATCACTGGCTTCTTGGAAGTTTTGTCTCCATTATATACCTTATTACACTGTTGGCAAGGGAGCTTCTGCTTAGTTTAGATACGGAACTATTTCTAATGGACTAGATATTTGTTCACATGTTAATTTATGTATTAGATATTGTACATTGAAGCACAACTTATGTCTTGTCCTTCACATATGCAGGGGTACCAAAACTAAAGTGCTCGGAGCTAGAAGCTGCTTGTGAGGATTTTAGCAACATCATTTGCAGTCATCCAAATTTCATCGTCTATAAGGGAACATTATCAAGTGGGGTTGAGGTGGCAGTGGTGTCAACCAGTATCACATCTGTTCATGATTGGTCAAAGCATTCGGAAATGCTTTTCAGGAAAAAGGTTTTTCATTCTTGGTTTATAGTGATTGCCTTCTCTGATTTAGTGCATATAGTATGTTTATCATCGTATGGTTGATGCATTGACATCTTTTACATCTTGGATGTATAGGTAGATACACTGTCTCGTATAAACCACAAAAATTTTGTCAATCTCCTTGGTTACTGTGAAGAGGATGTGCCTTTTATGAGAATGATGGTCCTTGAATATCCGCCGAATGGTACAGTTTATGAGCATCTTCACGGTAAGAAAATTAATGTGTTTGAGTTTGATGAAAGTTCAACACCAAGGCAGTTGACAACACATAAAATTATATAATTGAGTTTTGACTTTTGCCCAGCAGAATTATATAAACGGTTTTAACTTTTGCCCAGCAGAAGAATTTGAGAATCTTGAGTGGAGTGCTCGGATGAGGATAATTATGGGAACGGCCTACTGTCTCCAGCACATACATGAGCTGACCCCACCCATATCGCATCCCAACCTGCTGTCAAGCACCATCCTCATATCAGAAGATTTTGCTGCCAAGGTGATCCCAGTCATTACTTAGTGTCTATGATATGCATGATTATGTTATCTTATCTCTGGAGGAAAGTCCAATCAGCTTAGCCAACAGAGTCGCTACGGTTTTTTTTTTGGTTGATATATATATGCTGTTACAATCTAATGCAGGTGGCAGATTTTAATGTTTGGAAAGAAATTATTGCCAAGGGGAAGACACACGGAGCTGAAGATCTTGATGACTCTGAAACCGTGTCTGCTGATCCTGCAAGCAATGTATATAGTTTCGGTATCCTGTTGTTAGAAATAGTTTCTGGAAAGGTTCCACATACCGGAGAACAAGACTCCCTTTTCAACTTGGTAAGCTGATGCACACACTCTGTTAACATTACTAGAAAATAATTACAGCTTCATACTGTTCTTTTTCTTGAGTTTGCTGAGAATTTATACTGCAAAACTTTCGATTTCTAAGATATCTGCTTTAGCTGAAACAACAGGCTGCAGAGTACGCGAATGGCGACGGTGGCATCGACTCATTGCTTGATCCTGCTTTGAAATCCCACAAAGATGAGGAACTGCGTATCATCTGTGAGGTCATCCAAGAATGCGTCAATCCCGATCCGTGCAAGAGGCCAACCATGAAGGAAGTTGCCTCTAAATTGAGTGAAGTGATCTCGATTACACCAGAAGCTGCTACGCCAAGACTTTGTCCGCTTTGGTGGGCAGAACTGGAGATTCTGTCTGTCGAAGCGACTTAATCTGGGAGTCGAATCTCTTTGTAGAATCATCGTCAAATTTGTGTATATCCATGGTTATCGTCTGGAGATTGACCGTCCTTTCTTTTAGCCAGAGTGATCCGTTCTAAATTAGGGATCTTGTGCAATCTGTAAGCTTTGCGAGAGATCAGATGTTGGGTCTGGATTACTATGAACATGAATGTGTGTAATCATTGTACGTCCGATTACTGCAGCTTGGTGCATGAATTCTCTTCTTTTAAACTGGAGATCCCTCTGTCCCTGGAGATCGAGTGCAACGGGTCATCCGAGACATAATCTTCTCTTTCGGAGTATCAGGACATAATATTTTCTCTTCCGGAGTATCAAAAGGATAACATGTATCAATTTTAAGTTCTATGTTGTTAATGTCAATTTTGATTGTTTGAGATGTCATATTATAAATAGCAATGTATTAATTTTAAATTTTATATTATTAATATAGATTTTGATTATTTGAGATGTCATATCACAAAGCTAACCGTAGCTCAGAGAGGGAAATTTAAAACTGACGGGCACCTTCGATAAAAGTTCCATCTATGCTTATGCTTAAGTAGGAACCAGGAAAATAATAATGTAGTAAAAGATTTAAGGAATTCAAAGAGTTTTATAGGATTTATAGAGGGCTCGGCTACTCATTCGAATTAAATAGTGAGTTAGCATACGACAGTAGTTATATGAGATTGTCAAGCGAGATTATCATACAATTCTCGGAAGTGAATGATTGTTCAAACTATCAGACATTGCAGTTAGCCATCTTGCATGGTGTCGATCATGTGAGGTGCTTAGTTGATGTGTTGCTTTGGTGAGGCATCTAAATAGGTGTGCTAGATTTCATTATTATCTACCTCCCATTGTATTTTGACATATAGAACCCGTCGGGATCTAATATCTTTCTAATTGTCAGGACACAATGACATGAAAGAAGGTGAGAAGGATGAGGGGTGGCCTTGGAACCCACAGAGGGTCCGCAGTCGAGAAGTTCTCATGCCAGTCAAAATGTTCACTTCTCTCTTTCTTTATGACCATATTGTTAAGTTTTAGGAGTCGAAGTTAGACGTTCCAAATATATAGTTTTGCCATCACTTGCTAGTAGCAAAGGTATCGTAGACGATACCCTTGCCTAAGTCTTGTTAATCAGATCGAGGTTGGCCCTTAGCCCCTGCTCCTTGATCCTTCATCACAGCCAACCATTCAAACTATAGAGATAATGAGTTTGGGAGAAATTGTTCGATTATGTGATCCTATTTAATTAAGTAAAATATATTATAGATCTGATTTAATTTTAATTATGATTATCAATCAATAAAAAGAAAATCTAATTATTGTGAGATTCCTTATGAGATGACCTGACATAAGAGGCTCACCTAATTACCATCCTAGACCCTATGTTATCGTGGATAGATACACCAATTATTAAGATTACATATCTATTCTTAATCTTTTTTAGTCTCTAATCCATCATTCATAATGATCCTATGAAAGATACAAAGAGAGAATAAGGCGCGTCTAGTTCTTCTTATAAATCGACACCATAATAGCTTTCGGATCCGACGATGATGGATTTGTAGGAAAAATCTAGGGGCGACATCACATGTGCAGCGAAAGAATAGAAAACAAAATCACCAAATTTTCCAATGATGTGTTCGTCATTGTGCGAAGATCTGTGCGTAAAACCCACGACACAGAAAACCACGTGTGAGATAATTGTGTTACCTAGGGAGATCGTATATCCCCGAATCCCTATAGACTTGTTAGAAAGGATGAAGGAGGTCAAGCGCCCTCCTCTCTAATAGTGATCTACATAACAAGGCTACAACGATACTCCTCAAATCTCCATGCCTGCTATCTGAGGAGGAGAAAGGGAGAGGGGAATAAGAGGTGATCACCAAGAAGCCCCAACTGGCCTTTAGTTTCCTCCTATTTATAGAGGTCCTTAGTTAACCCTAATAGATCCTACCCTATTGGGTACTGGATCTCCATCCAATTGCCAAAGCCTCTTAGGTTAGTGGGTTTTTACTCAATAATCTCTTATTAGCTCTTATTGGATCTCATTTATGAGATCTAATAATTCAGAGGCTTATTAGATATCCAATAAGATATATGCTTCAGCGGATATCTCATATCCGAACCTCTACTCGTCGTAACACCTACTATATATGTGTGACCCTCTAGGCCCAATATCGAGCTGGCCGTGAGTCATACATATTAGAACTTCTTTTGGTTCAGTGAATTATTATCTCCATAATAATTCACTCGACTCATCGACTATAGACGTACTTGGTCACTACGCCCTAGTCCCCAGACGATATAGGAGAATCTAATCCTTTGGACTTATCTATCCTTAGTTACAGTGTACTTATTGTCACGCCCCCCCTGAATTTATTATATTATAATTTAACAACAATCCATTCCAGGATCTGATCACACATTTGAGGACATTGAGAAAATATTCAAGTCATTTTCATATATTCTATAATCTATAAGACCTGTACAATTTAAAATAATATATCATATCACTTAATGATTCATAAAATCCAAAGCCTACTCAACTAAACCATAACCATATCATAAATCTATCAGCATAGGAATCTATACAATCACAAACCCAACATGTACCGCATGTTTATATCATTACACAATTTAAACTTAATATTCCCAAAATCCCGATATGAAATGTACTTTTCAAATATTTACAAGGTATATCAATCTAGAGTTATCGTTGATATTTCATTATACATAAAAGAAACTTATACAACATCAACCTATCAAGTACAAAAGATTTGCCCCAAAATCTTCTAGCTTTCCATTGCCTTAGCCCATTTTAAACATTTTAGCAAGCGACAAGCTATCCCGAAAAAAATTATTAGCAACGGAGTGAGCACATAGAGCCCAGTAAGTGAGTAACATATCGATAACAAAGAAGACAGTTTTAAACAAATAAGGTTTCAAAATATAAGGAAGAGATATAAGAGTTCAAAGATAGCCACTCGACGAATGCAGAATTACAATATCGTATCGTTCAAAGCATGTTTTGTTCATAATAATGGAGTAAGGGCTAATTGGAGCATATCGTTGGCATAAGAAGCATATCCATGACATATGAAATATTTCAAAGCATATCAAAGGCGTAAGGAGCATTTCAGATATCAATGACATATGAAACATTTCGGAACATGTCAATAACAAATAAAATATTTCGGAACAGAACAAATACAAAAACAGAAGCTCAACATCGCATTTGACATTGCATACTTTTCATTATTATCCAAAGCACACATAGAAGAGTATAATTAAAGCTTTGAATATCATATCAAACAGATAGAAGGTGAAGTGGGATCCCAAACATAATATGGTCCATCTATTTCTGAATGACTACCAAACATAATCTAGAGCATCGCGGGCTCTAAGCACATGCCCTTTACCATTTTTGACAAAGGTCTAGATAATCTCTTTACCATTTCTGGCAAAGGTCTATATAATCTCTTTACTATTTTTAGCAAAGGTTCAAAATAATCCCACAAATACCAGAGTATAAAAAGGTATTATGAACAATAAAATTGGCATATATCGAAAACACATGCGAAACAACGTAATGCATATGCCTATACGAAACATTATGATACAAACATGAAGTTTAAATAATAGATTCAGGTATGCAAATATTTGTAGGACAAGAGTATCAAGAATTTGAAGTAATAATGTAAAGCTCAACTGAAGTAAGAATTTTAGCTGAAATCAATTTCTAAAGAGATGAAACAAGAATAGGTGAAATCGACTTCTGACAGAATTTGAGAGGCATATTTCATGAATTGTTTAGATATTATACTCCAATTTATACAAATTTAGTTCATTTGAAAGATGTATCAATCTAGTTTTAGGTAAATCAAATTTGTATAAATTAGAGTTTACAACAGAGAGTTACAAATAATTTCATAGTGAAAGGTTTGGAAACATTAGCTCTGTTTTACTGAATCCATAGGGTCAATAAAAACAAATGTTTTAAGTTTGCATTGGTAGTCCAAAAATTTTAAATCATATAAGAACAGAAAGAATTTTGAGTCTAGTTTCAAATAAATTATACTTTGCATGTTGGGCTGGCAGCCCACAAATTCAGCCCATAGTGGGCTTGGGCAGCCCACAGCTCACCCCTTTAACCTAACCCTAATTAACATTAGGGGGGTGTGGTGGATGCATTTTGGAGGCAGAAAAGGCATAAATAGGGCAGCAACGTGGGAGAAGCAAAGAGTCACGAGATTCCAAAGAAAAGGAGGAAAACAAGACAGAAAAGGAAGAGAAAGAAAGGGAAGAAGACAAGGACAATGCAGAGAGGCTGTTCTCAATCATCTAGCAGTGTTCTCATCTCAGGTTAGATTAAATCTACAGTAGACACTTGCTGTGATTACTTGGGGAGGTTTTAGATATCGTGGACAGTGACGTGATCCTTATATCCCAATTGTTCTCTTGTGATTGTTGCTAGGGTTTAGGGCAAGAGATTGAGATTTGTATATTCATTATTCTCATAGTGGATTATCTCTAGTTTGTCCCGTGGTTTTTACCATTCACATTGAAGGGGTTTTCCACGTATATCTTAGTGTTTTATTTGATTGTGGTTCTATTTAATTTCGCTGCATATTATGGTCTTCTAGTATTTGTTCATATACAAAGGTTATTCTTGTTTATATCCCCATCAACTAGTATTAGAGCAAGGGTTTTGGTGATTTAATTTTGTATTTGAACATGGAGGCCAGTAATGTTTCTCGCATGATTAGTTTAAATGGAAACAATTGGATGATATGGAAACCAAGAATGGAAGATCTCTTGTATTGCAAAGATTTGTATGAACCTTTGCAAAGGGATAGTGCAAAACTCATAACTATAACAGATGATGAGTGGAAGAGGTTAGATCGAAAAATAATTGTATTTATTTGACAGTGGCTTGATGATAGTGTCTTTCACCATGTTTCTACTGAAATTTCTGCATATTCTCTTTGGAAAAAGTTGGAAAGTCTCTATGAAAGAAAAACAGCTGGCAACAAAGCTTTTTTGATCAGAAAACTTGTGAACCTAAAATATAGAGAGGGTGCTTCTATTGCTGAACATTTGAATGAAATGCAAAGTATTACTAACCAGTTATCCTCTATGAAAATGTCTCTTGATGATCAGTTGCAGGCATTGTTACTTCTCAGTTCATTACTAGAAAGTTGGGAGACACTGGTGGTTTC